CTAAAAATATGAAAATTAGCTGGGCCTGGTGGCAGGCGCCTGTCATCCCAGCTACTCAGGAGGCTGACGCAGGAGAATCACTTGAACTCGGGAGACAGAGGTTGCAGTGAACCCAGATCATGCCATTGTACTCCAGTCTAGGCGACAGAGCGCGACTGTCTCAAAAAAAAATGTTTGGGTCATCTCTGGCAAGAGCTGAAAAAGCCACCCTTTCTAGCTTCCCTCTGAGTCACAGCACTGTTCCCTGCCCCCAGGTGGCCCCAGCCCCAGCGTGGGCAGTAATTATGTAACTTGTAGGGTCTCTGAGAAGGTATGGAGACACAGAGATCTGGATGCTGGAGTGAGAAGAGTCCTTAGCAAGCCTGCTGAATGTTAGATACTGGCCGTCAAATAGCCCATAATGATACAAGTGTAATTTTTCCCCCCGATAACTTATTCAGTGTTTACAAATGAGCATCATTTTTAATATAAAGCAAACAAATCTGAACTTTTAAAAAAATTGTATGATTAATGGAGCATTTTAAAACATTATACCAAAATTGGACCTTTCAGATTTGAAGAGACATCTATACTAAGCCCAATTTTATAGATGGGGCAATTAAGTCCCAGAGAGGGCAAGTGACTTACCATGAGCAAGTGACTTACCATGACTCACAGAGTCCAAGCCAACATTATGATGAAACACATCCCCCTCCCCTAAACCCTTAGCACACTCATTTGGAGGACAGAAAGCTGGGAGGGAGCTGCCCAGCTTATAGGACTCGATGTTGCTTGGAGGATAAATATCCAGGGAATGAGTCCTCCTGCTGCTCTACCAACAGGACTGGTAAGGAAATGACTCATGGAAAGGAGATGGCCCAGAACAGTCATGGAAACCAGCCTCCTGCCTCAAGAACTTCCTAGAACTCACCCACCCACCCATCTTGCCCAGCCTTCTATCCATCTATTTATCCACCCATCTATTACCTACCTGCACATTTATCCATACACCCCTTCATTCACTCTAACATCCATCTGCCATCCTATTCACCCATCCATCCTACCAATGTTTATATCGTGAGAATCTAATATGTGCCTGGCATGGTTCTCGATGCTAAGATGCAAAAATAGTGCCTGCCCTCAGAGCTCTCAGCCAACTGGGAGAAAACATAGAAACTGACAATTCCCACTCCATGAGATACGTGAAGGTGCAAACCAGATGCCACCACACATAGCTGAAGCATTGACGAGTATGGAAGGGCAGAGCAAGAGGGTCCTGGAAGGACCAAGAGTTAAACAGAAGTGAAGAATACCATGGGCGTGGCAATGAAAAGTTCAAAGAAAAGTGTTCCAGGTGGAAGGAACAGCATGTGCTAAGGCCTGGGGTAAAAGAGAGCACGGTCCCAACAATGCATCCCTACCTAACCCATGTAGTTCTTGCTCCTCCCTCCAGCTCCATCCAGCCTTCTTATGTCCCAGTTCTTGCTGCAACTTCCCCACCCCTCACCCCCACCAGTATCCTCCAGGCCAGAAGCTGGGCTAGGATTCTTGCTGAGCAGGCAAGTGAAACCAGAGGAGGGAGCTGGGCAGAGACCACAGTTCCAGCCTGAACCAGAAGAGGCAGCGGAATGGGGAGAAGATGGAGGGAGGCTGAAATTCCATGTCTGAGAATGCCCATGATAATGCCCCAGGGCTCTGAGTCCCTAACACAATTGGCATTAGAAGACCCGGGGATCTGTGACTGGATCATGGTGTATGATCAGTTCCTTACTTGGGTAATATACCTATTCTAAGCTCTCACCACACTCACACAGTTACCTTTATAAACTGCACATCTGGCCCCATCATTGCCCGGCTCGGAGCCCCTCACTGGCCCTCTGCACAGCACAACTCACCCTTAACTCATCCAGGTGTGGGCCCTGTATCTTTAAAGTCATCCCTCCCCACTTATCTTGTTTCCCTTCACACACCAGCAGCACAGTACTTCCAATGCCCTGAAAAGCAATGCTCTCCCATTTTAGGTTTTGCATGTGCTTCTCTTTCAGCTTGGAATGCGGTGCATCCTTCTTTGAATTTCTGCTCATTCTTCAGGAGTAGGCCTTAATGTCACTTCTTCCAGGAAGCCTTCCCTGACTGCCCACTTCCCTACTCCTTGGTGCTCTCAGAGTGTTCTCTCCCAACTTTAGGTAGCACATACCAAGCACAATGTTAGTATGACTACAGATGGTTCTACTTAGGACTTTCGATTTTATGATGGGTTTATTGGGTATTAAATGCTTTTTTTTTTTTTGAGATGGAGTCTTGCTCTGTCGCCCAGGCTAGAGTGCAGTGGCACAATCTTGGCTCACTGCAAATTTCACCTCCCAAGTTCAAGAGATTCTCCTGCCTTAGCCTCCCGAGTAGCTGGGATTACAGTGCCCGCCACCGTACACGGCTAATTTTTGTATTTTTTAGTAGAGATGGGGTTTCACCATCTTAGCCAGGCTTGTCTCGAACTCCTGACCTCATGATCCACCTGCCTCAGCCTCCCAAATTACAGACGTTAAATGCATTTTTGACTTAGAATTTTTTCAACTTACAATGGGTTTATTGGGACATAACCCCACTGTAAGTCAAAGACCATCTGTATTACTTTAATGATATGTTGTCTCCTGATGCCCAACTGACCCTCCCACCACCCAGTGGACTCTCAGAACAGCGACTTTGTCTTGTATTTCCAGTGCTTAGTGCATTGTAGGTACTCAGGAAAATGTTAGTTGGGTGAATCAGTGAGTGTGTGATGAAGATAATACACTAATATTTCTAGAGTGCTAGTGCATGTCAATCAGTGCTTCATAAATATTGTTTAATTTAATTCTCATAACTGACTTATGAGGTCATTGCTATTATTATACTCATTTTATGGATGAGAGAACCAAAGTTCAAGTTCCCCAAGGTCACACGACTTGTAAGGTTTCTATGACACTGCTGCTGGATGGATGGATGGATGGATGGATGGATGGATGGATGGATGGATGGATGGATGGATGGATGGGTGGATTGATGGATGGGTAGGTGGATGGATGGATGGATGAGTGGATGGATGGATGGATGGATGGATAGATGGATGGATGGATAAATGAGTGGATGGATGGATGGGTAGATGGATGGATGGATAGG